GAGTCCTGACCTGAACCCGATAGAACACCTTTGTGATGAATCCGAGCGGAGACTGAGAGCCAGGCCTTCTCGACCAACATCCGTGTGTGACCTCACCAATGCGCTTTTGGAAGAATGGTCAAAAATTCCTAGAAACACTCTCCTCAACCTTGTGGACAGTCTTCCCAGAAGAGTTGAAGCTGTAATAGCTGCAAAAGGTGGACCGACATCATATTGAACTCTAGGTTAGGAATGGGATGGCACTTCAGTTCATAGTATAGTGTAGTATATAGTGTACATACTCAGGGAACCTTCATTTTCTTTCAGCCAGCTTCAACCCATTTCTCAACTTACTTTTAGCAGATCCTCAGCTACTGTTAGGCTAACCTTTAGCTATTTATTTTAGCTAGGTTTCACTAGATATTTAGCAAAATATCTAGTAATGCCAGCTCACTATTGCTTAATTTGAAGATTACTATAACCCTCTGAGCTGCAGCACAAAACATGGGTTTGCCCGTTCTGGTCCCTGTGCAGGTTGGAGAAATCAGCGTTGTGAATGTGGACTGTTCACAGGCTGGACCAGGTAAACTCAGTTTGGAGGCTGTTCCAGACCTTACCTCCTCCTTTCCTTCAGAGTCAGGTAAAAGTGAAACCTGCTGAGGATTTGTCAGACCAAGGTAAAGTAATCCTGAACCTGCTTGAAGCTGATTCAAACTTTTGCAGGTGTAAGGACTCAAACGGAGGTGGTGGACCATGGTAACGGAACCTTCACTGGGACCTACCTCCCTCTGACCTCTGGTTTCCACACTGTGTTGCTTAAATATGGGGGAAAAACTGTTCCGGGTTTTCCAGCCGTGGTACCGGTGGAAGCTGCTGTAGACACATCCAGGATCAGAGTGTTTGGACCTGGCATTGAGGGACAAGGTGTAGCATGGCCTCTTGTCTGAGTTCATGTGTGGGTGTTAAATTGAAACTTTTTTTTTTTTTTTTACTTGAGTTTCATCTTTAGCTTTTTACAGAGAAGCCACCACTGAGTTTACAGTAGATGCCCAACATCTGACCAGTCAAGGAGGAGACCACATAAAGGCTGACATCAGAAACCAGTCTGGAACTTTGACTGACTGTGAGGTCATAGACAATGCCGACGGAACCTACACTGTGGAGTACACACCCATTGAGAATGGTAGTGCACCATTGTGTGTGTGTGTGAGAATGTGTCGACAAACCTCATAGAGATACTCTGATACTCTGGCCTGCAGTGCAGTATCTCCTCATGCCTCTCTGCTCGTGTCCAGGTGTCCATAGCATCCAAGTTCTGTATGATGACACTCCAGTTCCTCAAAGTCCTTTCAGTGTGTCTGTGTCAGAGGGCTGTGACCCCAGCAGGGTGGTGGCAACTGGCAATGGAATCCAACATGGTGTCACTGGAAAATCCAACAAATTCACCATTATCACTAGGTGCTAAATGTTTTTTTTGTCCTCTACAAGCTTAAGTTAAATACGTTTTAAGAACCCGTTTGACTGCCTTGGTGTCTTTCTCCAGGGGTGCCGGTATCGGAGGTCTGGGCATCACAGTGGAAGGACCGTCAGAGTCCAGGATGTCCTGTGAGGACAACAAAGATGGCAGCTGCAGCGTGGACTATGTTCCCTTCACTGCGGGAACGTACGACATCAACGTTACTTACGGTGGAGAACATATCTCCGGTAAGAAAGAACTGCAGTAACAAAGAGTGAATAGAGAGAAAGAGACAGACAGAGAGAGAGAGAGGTAGAGAGAAAGAGACAGAGAGAGTAAGAGAGAGAGCGAGAGAGAGAGAGAGGGATGAGTAAAGGATGAAAGTGTTGGGAAGACTAAGGTGGGGACATAGCAGAGATGGAAAGTAACAAATTACATTTACTCACATTACTGTAATTGAGTAGTTTTGTAAGTAATTTGAATTTTTTTTTAATCTACTTTTGAGAATAGGACATTTTTACTTAAGTTCAGTTTGGCTTGAAAAGAACCCATTACTGCGGGAAAAACTTAAATGCACGGAAAAAGAAACTGAAAGAAAATTGCTTGGCCGCGTGTATTTCCCACTATTTTAACAGGAATCAACAGAATATCAACAGGAAGCTGTAATTGTTTTTGGTGGGTGAGGGACCTGGACTAGCTTTTTGTACTACTAAGTACCCTTGAAGTTGAAGTTGCTCTCAGTTTCAAAAAGGTCGGTGACCCCCAGTGTAAATGTTGTCTGAATTTTCAAGTGCCTTCTAAATTGTGACCAAATTCTGATTGAGTGATAGACTACTGGGTTGGACTGAAACATATTTACAAGAGGGGGGGAACAGAGGCACAACACAGAGAATAAGTTAAATGGGCTACTACTGATTTTCCATTTCCACCCAGATGTCATGCCTGCCTGGCTCATTTCTTTCCCTCCAGTGCAAGGGTTTTTTTTTTTTAGGTTGCATGCCCAGTAGTAGTACATTAAATTAGGCAATGCTAGGCCTGCAATATTTTTAGGTCTTTGGAGGGCATTTTTATTGATTCTCTATGTTTGCCAATGTTTATAGTAAACTGTTCTGCAATAAGTGATATTGATTCGGTTTTCAATGAAAGATAAATTATAGTAAACTGTTCTGCAATAAGTGAGCTTTTTTTTTATCAGAATAGGCATATTTTCAAGAGATAAATGTTGGTAACACAATCATTTTGATTAGACTTATTCGGCCAACCATGGATAGAGGAAGTTTAGCCTATCTGGCCATATCTATCTAGTTTTTGCTGAAGTGGGACAGAAAGGTAGAACAATTTAAAAAGGAGGCATGAATCTGTGATTAGACTGGCATATTGGTAGTTGAGTATATCCAGAGAATTCCCCAAATTGTCAATGGGCTAAGAATGGCAGGAATCAAATTTACTGGATCTGTGACGTACGATATAATGTCATGTCTGTGTATTAAGATAGTTTATATAAAAGCCACCCTATTCTATACCTTTTGGTTTTGTCTGAAAGCAGCGGCAAGGGGTTCAATTGCAATGGCAAAAAGTACTGGAGATAGGCTATATCCCTGCCACGTGCACATTTAGAGAAAATAATTCACATCACTGTGGCGCTTTGGCCCAGAGGCAATGTCTCTGTCATTGGTGTGGAACCCCAGGGTTCACCTCCTGGGCAAGTTCGAATCCCGCTTAGGGCGGTTGGTACCTTCCAGTGGACTCACCACCTGCAGGAAGTTTTGGGGAGGTTGGTGCGGTGCAATGTGATTTGTTCACTGGACTCACCACCTGGATAATGGATGAAAATGGATGGATGGATGGATGAAATTCAGATCACTCACCGTTGGTGATAACCAAGGATATGGGATGGGAGTAGAGTTGTTTTTAAGGTGAAAAATAGATATTGCCACTCGACTCTGTCAAATGCTTTTTCGGCTATTTTAGCCGAGTGGGGAATGGCGCAGAATAAGAAAAGGCAGTTTAAAATGAAGCCAGTTTGATCTGGTGAAATTAATTGTGAGATGACCTTCTCCAGTTTTGTAGTTAGGATCTTGAACAAGACTTTGTAATCTGTATTTAAAAGAGAGATGGGATGGTAAGACAAATACTGGAGTACGTCTTTCCCTCCCTTTGGCCACAATTTTTTTTTATAGAATTCAGAAGTATATCCACCTGAGCCTGGTGTTTTGTTGCATTTTAAGGAGTTAATAGCTTGTAAAATCTGTGCGTGGGAGATCTCACCTCCCAGAGATTTATTCTGTTTGGCTGAGACGGAACGAAGAGTAAGATTGTCAAAAAAGGATTGAAGTTTTAAGAGGTTGCCGTTGCATTCGGAGTTATAGGTATATAGGTTTCTATAATATTGTTTAAAGGCATTATTCATTTCCAAATGGTTTGTGATTAATTCACCTGTTTCACTGCTAGTCTTAGAGATAAGTTGTGAGGAAAGGGTTTGGCGAGCCGGCTGGGCAAGTAGCTTGTCAGTAGAGAGTAAGTTATATTCTGTCTTTAAAAAGTGAAGGGGAGGGGGAAGATGAATATTGGTTATTCAGTATTATATGACCAAATGTGACCAAAACAATGGGATTGGCAAACAGCTGACCTAAAACCAGGATAAATCTCCCATTTGTATCCGCAATCACTTTCTGAGCTCGAAAAGGGATATCTTTGTGTACATTGGGTTTTGCAATGAATTGAGAATGAAGTACCTGGCCAGCTGAAACATAGGTGTATGCATAGTGGCAAATTTTTCTCATCATTTTTTTTCCATTTATGAGCATATATAATAGCAAGTGACAGCAAGCGCTTCCAACATAAGAGAAATGGAGGCTTCTCAATTCAACAGATAAAGTCCGTGACAGAACTGCGGCGGGACCCTGAATTAACATATAGGATGTTCAACATATTGAGCTGCATGCATATCGGGTCTTAACAAACCTAAACCGAGAACCAAACGATTGTAATTAAGTATCTGGCGCTGCTGCACTTGTTTGTTGTCATGCCGGAATTGTTTTAGGAACCAGCCGGAGTAAATGGTGAGCCTGAATGATTGCTGTGTAGGAAGGAGGAAAGATCGAAGATAAAGTAATTTTTTACTTCTACTCGAGTAGATATTTAGATGGGAAGTTTTATTTGAGTATTTAAGCAAATTAAAGATACTTTTACTTAATTACATTTTTAGTACTTTTTCTACCTCTGGCACATAGTAAGGAGAAGCTCTGGAGAAATAAGGCCAGCTAGAAACTGGTGGAGGGATGGAGTGTGTCATTTAACAGGAAACAGGTTTTTCAGAAAGGTTGTGTTTTTCTGTGTTTACTGATTTTTAAGGAAGTCCATTCACAGTCAAGGTAAAGGATACAGTGGACTCTGCAAAGGTCAAAGTGACCGGACCAGGAGTGGGGTCAGGTGTTCGGTGCCACGTCCCACAATCCTTTACTGTGGACTGCAGGAAGGCAGGTGTGGCTCCACTGGAAGTGGTCATCACAGGTCCGGAGGGTGTGACTGAGCCTGTGGAGATAAAGGACACTGGAGATGGGAAGCACACAGTTTCCTACACCCCATCTCTGGAGGGACAGTATGAGGTGGCCATCAAATATGCAGGGGAAGAGGTCCCCTGCAGGTATCCAACAGTATTGCAATAATACATTTTTACTGGGCTTGAATTAACCTTCTCTCACAGACCAAATCCTGTACAGAAATCACTGATATTTATTGATAATCCCAATCTTCCTTAAAAAAATCATATACATCTGCATAGCAATTGTTGGTCCATTGCTGCTGCTGTGATAGAGGCAGCAGTGTTGTTTTATGACTACAGTGTCTAAACACTTTTGTTTAGATTGAACCCAGTAACCCAAACTCACCACAGAAGGCAGCAGTGGACCAGCAGGTTCCCCTTGGCTAAAATTACTGATTCTCTCTACGGACTTTGGTTCTGAGCAACAATCACTGATTGTATCTGTGGTCTGTGAGCTAAAATCACTGTTTTTCTCTGGAGTTTACTCGGTGAGCTATAATCATGAAGTTTCTCTATGACCTTTGAGCTGAGCTAAAATCACTAATTTCCTCTATGAATTTCAGTCTTTAGCTGAAATCAAAGATTTTCTATATGGCCTGTGATCTGAGCTAAAATCATTGATTTTCTCTGGACCTTGGTCTGTGAGCTAAAATCATTGAGTTTTTCTATGGCCTTTGATCTGAGCTAAAATTAATTATTTTCTTTATGGACTTTGATCTGAGCTAAAATCATTGAGTTTTTCTATGGCCTTTTATCTGAGCTAAAATTAATGATTTTCTCTCTGGACTTTGGTCTGAGCTAAACTCAGGGATTTTCTCTATGGACCTTGATCGGAGCTAAAATCACTGATTCTCTCTGTGGACTCTGGTTTGAACTAATATTACTGATTTTCTCTCTGGACTTTGGTCTGAACTAAAATTACTGATTTTCTCTATGGACCTTGATCGGAGCTAAAATCACTGATTTTAACTCAGACCAAAGTCCCTAGAGAAAATCACTGATTTTAGCTCAGATCAAAGGCCATAGAAAAACTCAATGATTGTAGCTCACAGACCAAGGTCCAGAGAAAATCAATGATTTTAGCTCACAGACCAAGGTCCAGAGACAATCAATGATTTTAGCTCAGACCAAAGTCCCTAGAGAAAATCACTGATTTTCTCTCTGGACTTTGGTCTGAGCTAAAATCACTGATTTTAACTCAGATCAAAGTCCATAAAGAAAATAATTAATTTTAGCTCAGACCAAAGTCCAGAGAGAAAATCGGTAATTTTAGCTCTAGACCAAAGTCCATAGAGAAAATCAATGATTTTAGCTCAGAGCAAGGTCCATAGAGAAAATCCCTGAGTTTAGCTCAGACCAAAGTCCATAGAGAAAATCACTGATTTTCTCTATGGACCTTGATCGGAGCTAAAATCACTGATTCTCTCTGTGGACTCTGGTTTGAACTAATATTACTGATTTTCTCTATGGACCTTGATCTGAGCTAAAATCACTGATTTCTTTCTATGGACTAGTGTGGGAGAAGAGTTTACCCTCTTTAATTCTCTGCTCCTATCTCTTTCTAGTCCCCTCACATTCCGGGTCCTGTCTTCTTATGATGCCAGTGAAGTCAGAGTCAGCGGTCCTGGGCTAAGCAGCAATGTTCCTGCCAGCTTCCCAGTTGAATTTGACATTGACACCAAAGGTGCAGGACATGGTCAATTAAGCGTGCACATCACAGTAAGTGACAGGAATCCTGCAGAATGAGGGTTATGACTTTTTTTTATTCCTGAATTATATCAGAGTTATATAAGAGTATAGAGATTTACAACTGTATCCTCTAAAATTGTTTAGCTTAGAAGTGTTCTGTCCTCCCTGGTTAACTTTCATGATTTTTGTTTTTGTTTCATGAGTGTTATCAGTGTTATTTGTTTTCGAGTTTTTTTGGCAAACATTTTCACTTAAACCTGTAGATGTTTTCTGAATTAGTTTTAACCTTGGTCATATCTTTCTTTTCTCTCATGGTTGTCTAACCCTTAACCTTTTTTGTTAACTTTCTCTCATTTTTGCGGCTAACCTTTTAGTTTATGAAGCCTATGAATACAAATTAGTGTGCGAAAATGCATTGATTTTATGCATTGATGCATCTGATTTTAAATACAGTAATTTAATTATAGTTATATATATATATATATATATATATATATATATATATATATATA